TGCTGGCAAAAGCAACATCGCAAAAAACTTAACAGATCGATGTAGTCAACAGTACCAATCAATGCGTAAGAAACCAATCATAGTGAAAGTATTATTACGATACAACTTGTGATAATTTTATGTAAAATCAACAATTTTTGTTTTTGATTTTTTAACAAAATACTTTTTTAGCATTCAAGTGAAAATTTTTTGAGCAACACCAATCAGAGAAATTGTCTAGATCAGATTAGAGATCAATACAATCAGGGGCATTGTGAATCTTCAAAAAATTACCTGCAAACATAAGGCAATCCAGAGATCTAAATTGTTTAGGCAGATCATTTAAAAATATTAACTAAGAAGAGAAGTGGGCTAAAATGTGTTCCTTGTGATATGTTTGTGATTTCAACATATCCATTTGAGCAAGTATTTTATGTGCACATTATGAAAAATTCATAGTAAAATTGTGTATCTAAATACATATGCACCCGATTTACGAAGCGAAATGTTCTTATTCAAACGAAATATTTTAAATTTTCTCCTAAAAGCTCTGGAGCGGTTAATAGATATATACATAAGGAAAAACTTAGATGAGAGACAACTATCGAGAGCGCAGCATGCTTGCAATTGTCCATAGTGTTGTTAGAGGGATAGAAAAAGCTATGGAAACTGGAGAATGCGCTTTAGGAGTGCTTCTAGAAAAGGGAGAGGTTATCCACCATTTTCTTCGGGTTAAGCAACATTCTAGTCTTTAGAAAGAACTCGGCGCGGGTGAAGAAGGTCTCAGCCGCACTGCATACATGTAAGAAGATCTTGGGCTGCACTTAGGGGCTTTCACCCGCTCCTTAATACTGGATATTTAGAGCTATCGGTAAGCCAATGCCACTATATGGGGTATTGATATGGTGGATAGCAACGAATAGAAGGCATACCTTTAAAGACTGAAGAGTGTCTATCGGCTCTCAATGATCAGTATGGCACGAGGCAGCTATTCAAATCAGAACCTACGGCCACAGTAGTATAACCGGTCGCATAGACTACGTAATCCCGCGTCTGAGTTTCGAAAGGTCTCTGGAAGCTACAATAAAGGTTGAGTGTTGCTGTAAGGGCGTGAGGTGAATGGGAATGCAACGCACATCTACACAGACGGTTCTCAAATGGACGAAGGAATAGGGGCTGAAGTATGTTGCACCGAACCAGAAATTCAAAGGTCCTTTAAGCTATCGGATTATTGTAGTATCTATCAAGCCGAGGTATTTGCAGTAAAGAAAGTGAAAGAGTGACTAAAAAATATTAATCAGCCGACCGAACAGATAAACTTGTGTATAGACAGTCAGGCGGCCATCAAGGCTCTAATTTCGTATAAAAAAGTCGATCGCCTTTTTCGGACTGTAAGGAGGATTTAAAAAGGCTAGCAGCAGCTAAAACCGTCCACCTTTATTGGATACCAGGACACAAGGGTGTGGAAGGTAACGGGAGAGCTGACGAACTAGAAAAGGTAGATTTACTCTTAGATGCCATACTAGCTACTAGTATATACCAATTTCTTTTCAGGAAATCAAAAGATTACAAGATCTGCTCAAGTGCCGCCAAGGGGATAGGTTTTGGAAAAGAGCTCAGCATTGCGGACTTGCAAAGATTATGTGCAGTTCATACAATATTAAACTTACCGATAGTCGTCTATGTGAAACCTCTTAAGCGTAATCTAATGTTTTTCTAGCAAAAAGAAGTGTTTGCCGAAATTCGACGGCTTTTCTAGTAGTAGTTGGTTTAGGATTTCGTCTTCATATACGTATTTGCATCCGTATTCCTCTTCGTTTTCGTATTCTTTTTGGTATTATTTTTCATTTGGTATTATATTTCGAAATATCATTCGTATTCGTATTTGTCTCCGTATTCGTCCTTGTATTCTCGATATACGTCTTCGTGCTTGTTTTCGGTTGATGTACGTATTTGTATTTGTATTTGGGCTACATATTCATATTCGTTTTCATACTCGTGTTCGTATTCGTGTTCGTCTTAGTCATCGTATTGGTCTTCGAATTGATCTTCGATTGGTTTTCTTATTTGCCTTCGTGTCCGTATTCGCTTTCGCATTCGTCTTCGTATTCAAAAGCAAAAACACGAAGTGAAAGGAAATGCCTGAATAATACACCATTAACAAGCAAATTACAAGCCAAACTGAAGGGCTTGCAACAACAACTACACAGAACGGACACTACGATTGCTGCCATAAATTTCAATCAATTTGGAAATCAAAAAAAAATGTTCGTCATCTACAGAAAAATACCTTTCCAATAGTACTTTTGGTTTTAAAATCGGTTCAGTTATGACGAAATTCGGTATAACTAGAACATATTTAAGACCCTCTCTTAGAATATCACTTAATTTATAAGGTAAAAAATTAGTTACCGGAAAATCTCCTCTTTCGGAACTAAAACCTTACTACAATTTCTTACATCTTTGAATGTCTTTGGAGGTTTTTGGCAGGACTTGGAATTGGCCCGATACATTCCAGTTTGTCGATAAATTTCTATAATGCGATACAAATGGATAATTCAATGCATTTCATACTCACCAAAATTCAATAACTCGACGAATTTCGATTAATTTCGACAACTTTGTATTTCGAGGGCTCGATAAATTTCGACAACAATTATCTTGAAAAACTTTAGATACCTTGAGAAATTTCTATATAACTTGGTTAATATTGATAGCTCCATATTTTTCGAAGGCTATCGGCAAGTTTCGATAACTCGCTACATTCTGGTAACGCGATACAATTCGGTAAGCTGTGGTAACTGTATAAACTTATATAACATTGACATTTCGATAATTCCAAAAACTTCGATTTGATAAAACAACAAATTTTAGTAAATCAATAAATATCGGTAACTAGATAAATTTCGTTAATTCTATAAATAATGATAATTAAATAAATATCGATAACTCGGTAAAGTTCACTAACTTCGGTAATCCCTTACATTTTTATAGCTCGATAACTATAAATAAATTTCGACACCTAATTTTCTGTGTCTATAAATTTCGACAACTCAATAAACATTGATCAATTTGAACAAATCGTACGTTGCGATAACTTAACAAACTTCGATGATTCGATAAATTTCGGTGTCTTCAGAATTTTCGATAACAAAATTGTTTATGACTGAATTTATTTCGATTCCTATCAAGAAATTTCAATACATTTTCTTACCCTTTCAGTTACCCTAATTCCTATGTATCTCTCATTGTTTTCATTTTCGTCTTTATCTTCAATTTTGCCTCCACTTCTTTGTCTTTATCATTCATTTCTTCATCATCACATTTATCTTTATTACAAAATTGCATTGCAAATACAAAGTAAAACAAAATGCGAAAACAACTCAAATTGAAAAAAGGTTGCAGCAACAATTATAAACAAATACGGAAAGTTTTAAGCGGCGATTTTGGACTTAATTTTCAACCGATTCTTAAACCGTAAAAACTCTCCTCATCTACAAAAGTTTACCTTTCCAATGGTGTTCTTGGTTTTTTATGTTAGCGTATTCATATACATATATATACATAAATTAAAATTAGATTCTACATCAAAGCCCCGAATTCCAAGTAAAAACCACGTGTTTCTGTTTTTCCATTTTATATAAATCTGGGGGGCGGCAACAGCGAAATTCCAAAAAGTTTATCCTCCTCCTGTGTATTCTTGCGCCATCCTAATGTATTTACTTATAAATATATGTATGTATTTATGTGGCTAGCACTATTTATTTATCTATCAGTGAAGGCATTAAATTGTTTTGATACGGATTTCAAAGCGAACCACTTAAAATTATTTTACATACATATTAGCGTTTGCAAAATGTTATCAATCATACAAACAAGCAGTTATGATATGAACAGTAGAAAAACGTCAGCGTAAATACTTGAACAGATTATGTATTCAGTTGAAATCAAACAAGTTAATTCCGCCTATATATTTAATAATCATTTTATTATTAATGGTAATTGGACTTAATGAATGAGTACATTTCTCACACTACCCTTGATGGAACTGGCAAAGGTGCATAGTTAGTTGTCTGATAGGCCCAAAAGAGTGTGGTACGCCATGAAAATTCAATTTGATTTACGTAACTAAACTCTTAAGCCTATAAGCACCAAAAATATCAACCCCATGACGGGTGATTGGTTATTAGTTTCGGTATAAAATACACAAATGATGCATATGGCGACCGTTATGCGGCGGCTTCCGTGGAATGCGTATTTCATTGAAATGCCGCAGGAGCCTAGGTGAAATGGTAATTATCGTTTTTTCAATGCGAAAAAACATTTGCATACAAACGAAGATGCATTTATACGGGATGTACATACATACATACATATATTATCAGTAAATCAATAGACAAAAGTACAAAATTTTAATTAACAAACTGTCAGTTGTCGTTATTGTCAATGCAAACATTAAAAGTGTTGATGTCGGTGTGTATATACATATGTACATATAAATGTATTTATGCTTAAAGAAGTCATAGAGAAAAACTTTTTAAAACAAGCACAAATACAAACGTAGTAAATGCTTAGCAAATTTGAATGTTACCCTAAGGATGCAACTTTTTTGAGTTGATTACGCAGGCATGTGGCTTCCATAATTTGTCTTTTTTCGTAAACAAAACAAAAAACATATCTATAAATACATATGTAAGATACACATGCATTTGCAAAAGCACAACCGCATTGCTTTTACAGGAACTCCAGCTAAACACGAATACACAGCTATGTATAGTATGTCTTTAGCTGTAAGTTCGTGTTTATGTAGGTGCTTTCGCTGCCGTGATTAATTTCACATCAACCCCACAACGACGCGGCACTGTCCGATTGCATAGCTGCCGCTCCAAATGGCTGCGCTGTTCGTTGCGCATTAGCTGGTAAGCGATCGGATTCGCTCCTAGCTAATTGTAGACACTTCGGAATATAAAAGAAGCAACAGTTGGCCGAGATTATCAGTAACCGAATCGAGTGATAGCCGCGTACATTCAACAATTAGTGTCACTTTAATTATAAATCGAAATAAGTTGTTCTGAATAATATTCAGGTAAATTCAAAATTATTTGTTGTCGAGTATTTCAACGAAATTCGTATTAACCCAGTAGGAAAAAGTTAAAACAGGCGAAAAACAACTTTCCAGAAAATTCAAGTGACGTAACTGTACTTGCAAAGAACTCTACCCAGAAAAATATTAAATAATTATTAGCTCACTTGCACCTGAAGGACCAAAGTCATTGCCAAATAAAAATATATTTATATTTAATTCAAAATAGTGGTGTTTATAGGGTGATTTACCTCAATCAAGTACCAAAAAGCATAAAAATCATAACTCATTAATAGTGTTATGCAGGCAAAAGACTGAACCTTCTCCTATAAGGCGTTGGATAGGAATACTTATGCATATACGTTTGGTAATTACACTCCGTGTCAAAAGGCCGTGTTTAAAGGCCACAAATATTGGGCTGGATGAACAAAATGTCAGACCTTTTACTTAAATTTACTTGAATAAATCGCGTAAAAGGTCTGAAGCATCGTACAGTTCCATAAGTAACGAAACTCTTCTTCTTACCTTTTGTTCTGGCAGGCTGTAGGTGTGTTTTTGATTCAGTGTGCTAGTGTATTTTGAATAAATTATGATTGAAATGGAAGAAAATGTAAGAGATAAGAGCAAATGCCGAAAAGCAGGTGATCTCAGCAGTAGGCATTTTTTGGCAATCAGCTGATAGTGCTTTTACTTAGGAAACTGTACGATGGTCTGAAATTTTAAGAAAAAGCAATTGCTTCTGCCGAATTTCCACTAGGCATTTAAATGATGAAAAATGTGTGTCATTTAAAAATGACATGTGGAAACGAATCATTTTTTTAACCTAATGGCACAGGTATTTTTTAACGTCCAACATGGTAATCAAAATTCGTATCATTTAATACCAAGTGAAAATCTGGCATTAGTTTTTCCTTCATACGGTCGAAAGGTCTGAAATTTGAAAAAAGCAATTGCTTAGTTTTTATTCATACGGCCCATTGCAAGTTAAAACAAATAATTTTTTTGTTATTTAATTTGTATTTTTGTTTTTTATTCTTTAACAAGATCAATATGAATCCAAAGAGGGTGAAATATAGCTTATTTTAATAAAGCACTTTGTATGGGTTTAATACAAGCATATGATGTAACTTGAACCCAAAGTCACCATAACTTTTTTCCGATTTTTCTCATAGTTCTTGTTTAGAAGGATCAATGGTTGTCAACTCAACTTACTCAACTCAACTTAGTTACCGGTGTACTTGGTGTGCATTTGAAATTCTACAAAAGCCAAAACTATTTTTTTGAACTCCTTGTTCAAAAGAAGGATATCTGCCGTTATGAATTTGAATTTACGTTTTGTGGTGTTGTCTTGTGACGTCCTTCCGGTGGTCAAAAAATTTTCAGTTAAAAAAAATAAATCTAATTCATACCGCTTTTTATTCAGTTCTAAGTCCCAGTGAAGGAGGCTACGGCACCCTTAAGCGTCTTCTATCCCGCAAAAGCAGTGTGGAAGCCGAAACATGCTCAAGGATGTACTGGTCTTATAAGCTCAATGTGCAGCTTTACTTTTGTCAATGCAGAATATAAAAGTAATGTTTTGGTATCAGTTCATACATATAAAATAGATTTTGCTGTGCCGTTCATTCATCGGAAACATTAATTTATATCCGAAAATGATTATTTGGCTTTAGTGCTCGTAAAAACAATTTGGAAAGCTTAGCCGAAATTAGAAGTAATAGTTCCGAGGAAGCTCGTGTTTCATATATTCATATAACTTTCAAGCTTTGTTCGAAGAAAAAATTAGGCAATTGCTATCTTAAACACTGTGAGAAACCCCAGTGACTGACTGGTGGCGGCTTGCAAATGTTTTAAAACGCCTTTTTCAGAGGATCTACCGTAGTCCTTCGTTGCGGCATTTTTACAATTATTTCAAAAGACAGTTGCACAGTGCCTCAAGACTGTATTTTACTGTTCATAATTCACTGAAGCCTTAATTTTTCAACCAATTTGATTAAACAGGGCAACACCAGCAAACGAGGCAATGGTGCGGAAAATTTTAAAACTGTTTTTAATAGACTTTTTCGTGTTGATTGCGAATCTGTAATTGTAAAGTTTCCATCAGCTTCAGATTTTGAGAAAAATTTGGTCAAAGTGTCACAAAATCGCGTTTTATGCAATATTTGAGAAGCTCTAGCAAAAAACCGAAAGCTCACACAACCTTCCGCTTAGGCTTAAATGAAAGCAAAAACTCTCGACTACTATCCGCACCTTGGCCCGATGGCCACCTACAGCCCAATTCTGTATCGGTGACAAAACTTTTGTAGCTGAAAAATGCAAATTTTTTCATATTTTTTTCCGTAACAAAACTGTAACAAATATTTGTCACTGATACAGAATAGAGCTGGTGTAGTCATTTATTAAACAATAACAAAATACTGGAGTATTGTGCTATTGAAAGAAAATATATTGTGCCAAAATCAGTTTTTGCTGTTCAATAATTGGCCATAAGTGACCTTAGGGTCATGGTGAGGGGGTGGTATTTTCTTGGATACTAGTCGAAAGTTCAAGCCTCAGTGGAAGGTTCTCTCACCTTTTACTTTATTGCGGTAGGTCAGTGGCGGATCCAGCGGGGGGTGTTTTAATATGGTGCATATGTACATATGTATAATATGACGTCTATTTATTAAAACACCCCCTGTGGGTCCGCCACTGCGGTAGGTACTTAAATTTCNATTGCGGTAGGTCAGTGGCGGATCCAGCGGGGGGTGTTTTAATATGGTGCGTATGTACATATGTATAATATGACGTCTATTTATTAAAACACCCCCTGTGGGTCCGCCACTGCGGTAGGTACTTAAATTTCTCAGTTTTTGCAGTGCAGCGACGGTATTTTCGGAGGTAGTAGTCGAGAGTTTTGGCTTTAATTTAAGCCTTAGTAGTAGGTTTTATCATTTGTTTATTTGCTAGAGCCTCTAAAATATTGCGAAAAATATGGGTTTTCGACACTTTGACCACTTTTTTCTCTAGATCTGGAGCTGTTTTAACATTTTCCGAAACAATTTTTTTTTTTAATCTATGTTGGCCTGTGGGATAGTGGTTAAAAGTGCGCACTACACCTCCGTAGGGCCTATGATCGAGAAAAATTTCGGTCCAATAACAAAAAACAAGAAAAGAAGAAATTTTTTCTAATTGCAGTGACCCCTCGGTAGACAATGGCAAACCTCCCAATCTATTTCTGCCATGAAAAACAGCTTCTCATAAAAATACAACTTTATTTGTTTGTTTAGGTGGACGCAGTGAAGGAGGGGGGAAGCGCGGACTCGCCCGTTACCTATATACACGTGTGGTCAGCTAATTAAATTAATTGACATTTTGACCAATTTTGGTTTTATCTTTCGTCAGAAGGAATTAAAGGGGTCATGTGACTTGTGGTTCCAAAGTTATGGCTGATACAAAATTCCAAGCCTATGTTAAGTGCTACGCCCCCTTTTAAAACTCATTTATATATACCTTATTATAAGCACCTACCATAGATATGTCTGCATACCAAATTTCAAGTTCATGCGACTTACGGTTCCGAAGTTAGAACTGATTAAATAATTCACGCCTATGAGAGGCNGCCTATGGGAGTTGCCACGCCCCCTTTTCCAATACCGCCCATATTTTCCCATGAGTATGGAATTAATTTTATTTATCTCGACAGCAAGTTCCAATACTCTACCACAAATATTTCATGAGGTATACAACATGAAAATTTTAGTTAGTATAGGAGGTGCCACGCCCTCTTTTCCAGTACTGCCCATATTTCTCTATGCCTATAGCCTTCCCGGGGTAAAAACAAATAAGTGTGCAAAGTTTCATGGGATTCCATGCCGCAGTTCAGAAGTTATAAGGTAATAATCAAACAGACATTCACATTTATATATATAGAAGATTTATATTTTTATGTAAAAGTCTACCTCATTAAATAATCAGAACCACATAAATCCATATTTCAAACATCGTACAAAAATTATAAAAATTCAACAAACTTTAAATTAAATTTAATTTTTAAATTTTTGTTCAAAATTTTTAGAAAAATTCTAGATATGCAATTTTATAGCCCATTAAATATAAATAGGTAAAATTAAAAATTTCGAGACCCTGGAAAATCACGTTGATTTTTAATATTTTTTTTTTTTTGGTTGACGGGGCTAGGCATTTTCTTCTATATAAAAGGCACTATCCTAAGATAAAACATGAGTGAATTGAACCCCTGCTTGGCTTGTTATATTCTTTAATAACTAATCTTTAATAGGGATCATACTAAAAGCTACTTTTCATATAAAAATTCGTACGTGTCCCACCCGAGACGAAATATTATGAAGTTTAAAGAAGAAGGAACATTTTTTCTGTACAAATTTCTCACGCGTGACGGTGGAATCGCCCATATCATTAATTTGAAGTATAATAAGTTGCACGTGGCAAGTGGCTAAGAGTTCGCGTTGATTTTTAATAATATTTTTCCCAAGCATTTAAATCACATCAGTTTGCTAAATGTTGAATAAAAACGTTTTATTTGTCTCGTGTAGTTATTATTCTTATTATATATATTATGCAAAATTAATGCGAACCGCTAGCCAATTAAAAACTTTTTTTTTACATTTCAAATTTTTTTGTGAATATTTATTCTTTTTCGGGGAACCCTACAATTGTGCTGTACTAGTTTCTATTATTTAAGATTTATTAACTAACTTTTCTGCACTTTGCACTATAAAATTTATTACAATCAAATAAAAAATCAAATATCAGTTTTCATTTAAAAATTAAATTTAATTAAAATTATTCAAATTGATTGAAAAATAAAGGCTCCAGTGAATTATGAACGGTAAATTCCAGTTTTGAATCATTGTGCGTTGTCTACTACAGTCAAAATAACTTGGATGGAATGGAACTTTACACTTTTTTTTTAACTAAATTAAATTAGGTATTTTCAATCAGGTGGCAGCCCCCTTCAAAAATATTTTCGACTGCAAGCCTTCTTAAATCTTTTTCTTTTGACGGCCATATTGCTATATTTACTTTATCTTGCTAGTTTGCTGAAACTGAAACTGAAACTGAAACTTACAAACAGGTGGCAACTATCCAATTTTTTCTTTTTTAGCCATCCGGTTACTATAGCGAATAAATAAAAAAAAATTAGGGTAGTCAAGCATTTTAAATTTGATTGCTTTCAAGTATCCGAGCGAGCTACAAATTTTCGAATATCAAATGGTTAGGAGCTAAAATTTAATAACTTTTGTTTTTAATTTAAATAAAAATTTAATTTTTAAACGCTCTTTAGAGGACAATTTTTATACTCTACAAACATAGATTTCCAGTGCTAACTTTGACCTCTTTTGGCATTTTTCTTGTTTGCATGCACATATCTGCTAGTAAGGTTTCACAAAATAATATCCTAAAAATTAGCAAGGCTATTGTAGTTAATATTTTTCAGGTTTTGCCTAGAGAAAGCTTGTTATGTCTATGTCCTTTATTTAGCTGCTTTCATACACATATGTCGTCGAATCTCCGCCTGAGAATCATTCTGCTTGCTGTGCTGGTGCTCTTGGCAATGCATACCGCTACAGCCAACTCTCGACCGCCACGCAACAATGACATCAGCAGTATGGCCGATGCACTCAAATACTTACAAGACCTGGACACATATTACGGCGAACGCTCTCGAGCCAGGTACATAAATTCAGCAATAAATGGGCAGCAAGGCGTATGATAGACACAAAATTTTGCTCGTTTCTTTTATAGGTTTGGTAAGCGTACGCCGCTACTATTGATGTTACGACAACGATTGCTGGAAACTCCTGATCAGGTAGCAGTAAACTTAAATTTTAGTTGCAAAAAGTTTATTTATTATTTTCTTTTCTTCTTATACTAAACTTAACCGAAATAATTAGGCACATATCAATGATAATCCATCAGCTGATGAACCTTTTTAAAACTGATGCGATACAAACTCAATTACAAACATAAATTTACGTTTCGATGTATTAAACAAAAGATGTTGCAGCAACTCATTTCAAACATTTTCGAGTGAAACTTCTTTTTGTAGTTGTAAAATTAAAAATGTTTTAAAGACTACTATGTACTTTAAGTTTAACTTATGGGGCAAGATTCAAACCCAAGTACGAATTTATTACTGCAATGCATGCGCTAGTTAAACAAACACTTTAATTTTATTGTTATATGTATAACATATATGTATATATATATATACATATATACACATAATTTTATGTATAAGTACTTGCACTTACAAAATTTTGTAGTTAGGTGACAAAGATTTAAAGCTTTTAATCCATATTATAAATGTTATAAAAAAAATAAAGCCAAATTTGTTGATGACAAAATTAACAATATCATTACGCATGTATGGGACGCATCACAATTGTTGTAAGTATTTATATTGGTAAGAAGTGCACTAAGAAGCCGCAAACTGAAAATAGAAAAAAATTCAAGTTTTTAAACAGCTACCGAAAAAATAACAAAACTCATTGGCTCACTCAATATTGATGCTGTTAGTATGGCAAAGGTGGTATTGCAATATGGCTCCAGCATTACACCAATCATATTAGAGGCCACTATCACACCCAAACGACCCATGGCTAAGCCAATACTAACGGCTTTACCCCTGCAAGAAATTATTTGTTTATGCATAGATATGTGGAAATATTGATTATGTGTATTCTAAAACTTAGTTAAATTTTTTAGTCTCACCTTAAGTGTGTGGGCACCAAATCCACCATTGCACCACACATTATAGAAATTGATAATCCTGGCATGAGTATATACAAACAGAAGAGTACTAAAACCACTTGTGCATTAGCAACAAAATGCAAAAGAATTCCACTTAAGGTGCCAATGCCCAATGCAGCTAACAACACGTTTTTACGTCCCAATGGATTCAATAGCGCTCCCTGTATGACAAAACCCACTAAAAATGCACAGCCAACAATCATATTATCAATATAGGTCTTTGTTGTGATGCTGTCATCACAGATCTGCAAAAAATAAAAAAGTAAATTAAGCAGAAGTGAGTACATACATATTTACAAATAACTGAATTATGACTATGAATCAAATAAGATAAATTAAAATTTCGACTGCGTGTTCAGTTTAATAGTTTAAGTAATTAATTTTCCAACTTTTTCCATTGCAAAATATATTACGAGGGCTGAAATAGTTAATAAATTAAAAAAATTAAGTGTGCCTGGGCCACACTGGAGAAGTGAAACTTATGTTACATATCTATTTTGTCTCGTAACCAATATAAATACATACATCTGCTTTGCTTAAGGTTATATTTTTTGTTTTTTTCTATCTTCCCCTGTTCGTTATAACTACATTTATGTTATTCTGTTTTCCTTTNATATAAATACATACATCTGCTTTGCTTAAGGTTATATTTTTTGTTTTTTTTCTATCTTCCCCTGTTCGTTATAACTACATTTATGTTATTCTGTTTTCTTTAATCTTCAGTTTTATCTTTATACCCTATCGATAACAAAATCGATAGTAACATCCAACAAAATAACGATAACAAAACCGACAAAAGTATCGATAACAAAATCGATGACAAATTCAATGAAAATTTTGATAGCACAATCGATAATAATACTGGTAGCAAAATCGATTAGAAAGTCAATAAAGATATCGATAACATCTTTCGATAAAAAAATCGATAACAAAATCGATAAAGATATCGATAACAAAATCGATAACGAAAATCGATAAATAATCCATAACAACGATCGATTATAAAATTGATGAAAATATCGATAAACACTTCGATAACAAACATCGGTAACAAAATCGACAAACAATCGATAACTAAATCGACAACAAAACAGGTAACAAAACCGATAACAAAACGAATAACAAAATCGATGAATAATAGATAACAAAATCGATAAATGATCGATGAAAAAATCAATATATAATCGATTAAAACAATATCGATGACAAAATCGATAAAAATATCGATAACAAATGCGATAAAAAATGTCGATAACAAATTCGATAGCAAAATCTATAACAATATCGATAAGAAAACTAATAACAATATCGATACAAAACATCGATAACAAAATTGTTAAAAATATCGATTCCAAAATCGATAGCAAAGTCGATAAAATATCGACTATTATATCGATAACTTCCGAAGATATCGATAGCTAAGACGATAAAATTATCGATAACAAAACCGAAAAAAATATCGATTATTATATCGATAAGTCCCGAGAATCCCAAAAGTATCTAAAATCCCAGATTGAGTCTCTGTCTCTATCTTTATCCTTTTCTCTATAATTACCTTTATTTTAATATTTCCTTTCTATCTTCATCTATACCTTTAGCGGTATCTTCATCCTCATATTTTTCTTTATGTTTATCTTTGTTTATACTTTTATGTTTATATTTTCGTCATCTACATATTCCCCTTTACCTTTGCCTTGTATAAGGAAAGTGATTAAATTTGCCTTTGTCTTAATTTTTTTCTTTTATCTTTACTTATCTTTGAGTTTATTTTTATTCTTACCTTTGCCTTTATCCTCTTCTTTATTTACGTACGTACTCGCTTTTACTTTCATTCTTGTATTGGTCTTTTTCTAAGTGTCATTCGTTAACCTTTTATTAACAAGTTTTTGTTAAATTCATGCCATGTGCATGCACTCAATAAGCCCTTTTTTCAGCCCCAACCATTTCCGTTGCACAATTTCCGTAACACCATTTCCGTGTGCAAGTTCCGTGGAATTTGCCAATTTACTCCCAACCAAGCAGCTGCCGCTAAAGAAGTTTCACTTCAGTAATTAAACTCACACTAAATCTAGTTCAGCGATATGCTAAATAATGCAGTAGAATGGCTGATAAATCATTCGTCTAAAAAGGAACAGCACATCAGTGCGGATAACTGAAGCTTTGTGGTTCACTGTGGAAAACTTATAAATAGTATTTGTACCAAACCGGACAACTGTAAGTCTCATGCCTGTAATGGTTGTAGCTAAACAAGAAATGTGCTGGCGAACTATTGATGTTAAACAAAGCCGGAGAAAGGGCACTCACCACTATTGTTACCGGATGCGAGGGTCCTTTAGCGCCACTTTTCACCAGCTTTGGCTAAATCTATAAATTGTTTAAATATTTTTTTCATTCCACGAACCTTTCAACACATTGCCTAAGGACAAGGCTAACCTGTTAGCATCTACTTAGTTACTATGGAAACGTATAATCCGATTTTTTCACCCTCTGCCGAAGTCTTGCTATGTCAACTGGTTATGCAGACAATGTCTTAGTCATCATCAGCGGTAAATGTGTGATGACTTTTACTTAGCTCTCTGGCAGACCAGACGGTGAAGTTCATCAGCGACTGGGCTACGGAAGTGGAACTCAGTATTAATGCGGGTAATCCGATTTGCTCTATTCACTAAAAAGTTAGAGAATTCAATATAAGTAGAGTAGACCCAAATGAGGCAAGACCTGTGAATAACCAAAGACAACGAATTATCGAAAAGAAGCCACTGACGGCACTGTAGAAGGTACGTATGATGGATTGTAGTTCGAACATTTTTCCTACTCTTGGGCCTATATTAAATATTCTACGCGGTATTTGTGTAGTGGGAAACGGTGAAAAAAAGAATTATCTAACAAGGAATTTTTAGCAAAAAAAACCGACTTAAAAAAAATATATATATATCTCTATATATTTCATGATCCAATGATCGGATCTAAACCAGATTAGTACGGGACCACCTCTGAGACACTACCTTTCCGATGCAAAAAGAATAGAATTATCGAAATCGGTTGACGTGGTCCAAAGATATGCGGTAACATACATAAAAAAAAATAAAAACACTCCGACGAACTCATAACCACCTCTTTTTTTTGGAAGTCGGTTAAAAAGACTACAGAGGGTTTTTATGATTTCAATGATTAACTTAAGGCATACCTTAAAGAGAACAGCGACAGTGGCACTCCCCACAATTCGGGTATTTACATGCCACCGGTTGTCCCACAAAGTAGCTAAAAACATTCATTTTTGTTTTTGTAGCGGCTACTTAGCTCTCCCTAGATGGGCTTGTCCCTCAATCGGTGTCGTAAAGCTCAACTAACAGCAGACCCAGAAAATGTGCCAGTCCGACAGGTTTGGTCCATAGGGATAGAGGCGTTAGTTGAGTGGGGTTTAGGGCGCATGCGAAGGGTTGCTTACATCTGCATTTATCATACTCAGGTCGGAGTTTAGCCTGCTGCAGTATCCAGAGCGAGGTTGGGCTATTGAGGTGCGAGTTTCCCGAGACTGTGTTCCCAAAACGGCATTCACAGGTCGGAAGTGGGTATAAGTAGAGACCGACTCCCTGTGAATTCCACTTATTAGCCTGTCGGTATACTGTAGGGCCCAGAAGTTGTCTTATGAATCTTTGGACTTCGTCCGTTAGTTCGTATACATATATGCCTTCTGATGTGCCTAGGCGAGGACTCTGCGGCAAGCAGTGACTGCATACAAGGCATTATTTTGTGCTCCTTGACAGGGAGCATTTGACCCTAGTCATGTAGGCGGTGCTATGGCGACATCAGAAGTCATTCGGTGTCGGTCCGCTGTGTCCGCGCAACACTTTTGGCAACTGTTGCTAGATTTTTTTGTCTGGGGTCAGCTTGGGTTCAGACAGGCTGCAGCTATCTTTAGCTAAGGTGCCATATTAGTGTGCCGTTATTTTTAATCTAAGGAAAACTACTTCTTTCCCATTTATCAATAAAATAAGAATCATGTTTCTAAAGCAAAAGTGAAACAAGAAAATTTTCGTTGGCGAAAAAGCAGCGTACGCAACGTATTTCATAAAAATTTATTAAAGTATTGCTATTTTAAAAAATGTCCCGTTGTGGCACTTTGTGGCAAATTGAAAAATTAGTTGCCATTTGAAATAAAATAGAGACAAAAATGGCAAGGTTTAAGACAAATTTACAGGCCTGGTTTCAGTTTCAAAATGTGT